CCTGTCGCAGGTCCCAGCACCAACTCCAACCGTCCCGAGTGGTGAGATTGCCCCGACTCTTCATCAAGCCTTGTGACCCTCCCGCTCCCTTCTCCACTCAAAGCAAAATTTTGAGCGCCCGTTCGAGCGCGGCGCCAGAGAGAAAAAGCGAGAAAAAGCTACGGCGAACGCGTACCTCGACTAGAAGTCGCGACTGGCGCTCACAGGACCGATTGCGGCTCCCTGAGAATGTCCTTAACCTTCCAAGGCTTTGAAGTTCTCTGTATGTTTTTGTCGTGATTATCTATTGGAAAATGCTGTACTACAGAGAATAGAATCTATGTTAAGGATGCTACAAGATTACTGTATAAAGAACGTGAAGAATGTGATTGGTGAGGAGAATTTCAACGTGATCCGTGGCATGTACTTGGATACGGATCCTATTGAACAGTTGGAGACGAAGTTCCATGAGGTTGTCGCTGGACTGCCGGAAGAACGAGAGCGCCTTCTAGCAGGTACTCACTTACGAGTGTGCGTTTCGATGGGCAGATCCACTAGCTGACTTCAAAGGCACAGTCCACGTTGATAGGGTGGGTGGAGAGAGCTAGTTCTAAGATGGTTGAAAGCTGTTTCATGCTTATTGGTGCACCTGCTCTCTTGAAACGGTAGAGAAAAGGAGCGCTAAAGGAAGACGCAATGGTGGTTCTTGCTCCGCCCATTTGATTGACATGGACCCCCCCCCAAATGGCTCGTGTTAAAAAGTGCCCTTCCAGATCGTTATGCTGTATTTTGCCGCAAGATTTTCCGCCTTGTAAACTTCGAGCCTGCCGATTTAACGATATGGCTCACGTCAACACAGAAAATGGCAATCGGACAAATGATTCAAAATCCAAATATCAACGATACGCAGATCTATAATAAGGTATGTCACATTACAATCTTGCATCTGCTAATGGCGCTACAAGTCCAGCGTGCTGTTCGGCTTAGGGGGTGGGGCATTTCGTACTCTTGTTATTTTCTCTTGTTCCTGTCAAATTATTACAGGTTCACCCTAGTAAGACCTGTAAACTCTTGCAAGTGTGGACGGAGCTCATGCTGTTGCAGCTTCACAGGAAATGATGAGCCTCTACAGGAGGCATTAGCAATAATCCATGGAAACCAGCGAAATGCCCCCACAAAGCCGAACAGCGCTCAATTCCAGTCTAGAATCCCTGCGTTCAGTAACTGTAGAGTGTGCAATAGTGTAGGAGAATCCAACTGCTACAAAACATCTTTCAGATGTACGAATTCTAT